GCTACAGCCCTGACTTATTCCTGCCCTTGAGCAAATGTTCTGAGCTTCCGTGGGCCTCAGTTTTCCCATCTGCACAATGGGGAGAGAGCGGGATCATTTCTAGGTCCCTAATTCCACCAGCACTGCAGGTGCAGCTTTTATCTTCTCCCCCAAGACTGCCTGAAGGGCACACATAGGGACGGAGAAGGCTCAGCTGCAGACAATTCAGCCAGCACAGGCACCTGGCCGGCCTGACTGTGAATGTCTAATGCCTCTTAGCTTTAGCTCCTCTTCCCCCCGCTCCTTTTCCTCCCCGGCTGGGGATGGGGAAGGGGGGTTCCGTAAGTCCTCCCACCCTCTGCCAGAGCCTGGCCCTTTGGGGTGTAGAGGTGGGGGGACTGGAGGATTTTAGACCCCGGAGTCCCCAGTCCCCATCCCTGTGGAGGGACGGGACAGGCCCTCCCCCGCCCCACATCTAGAGTCCTGCCACCTGGGCCTGCGGGATTCTCCTCCCTGCACTGAGAACCATTGTGTGGATGCGGGCAACTGAGGCCCAGCAGGCAGGGGACCTCCTCACCTGCTGGAAAGTCCCTCAGAATGGGGTAGGGGGGCTGGGAGAAGAGTGGGGTCGGAGAAGGGGAGAGCCTTGGAGAAGGGGCTTCCAGAGGAAACAGGGTGTTAGAGGGGGAGAGGTAACCAGAAAGGAGTATGGGCTCACCCCAGTCCTCTCTGCTCCCCTCTGGTCCTATGCAAGGAGCTGGGAGCATGCTGTGCCTCCTCTTCCTCCCCCTCCTCTTCCCTTCCCTCCTTCCTGCTCCCCCTCCTCCTCCCTTCTCTCCCTCCTTCTCCCCCACCCTCCTATTCTTCTTCCCCTCCCTTCCTGCTTTCCCTCCTTCCTCCCTCCCCTCAGTTTTCTCCCCCACGCCCCTCCCTCTCCATCCTCTCCCTCCCCTTCCCTCCTCCCCTCCTCCTTTCCCTCTCCCCCTCCTCTCCCTACCCCCGCCTCCCCGCTGTTCTCTCCCCTCCCCTCCCCCTGCCCTCCCCCGTCCTCCGCCTCATTAGGCGCGGCCGCGGCGCGGGGCCCATTAGCGGATCAATTAGCCGAGGTCGCCCGCGGCGCAGTCGTTAAGCGCGGGGCGGCCGCGGCGGGAGGGGGCTCGAGCCCCCGCCTCCGCCCGCCCCGGCTTCCCGGCCCCGAGCACGCCCCCCAGGACGCCCCCTACCACCCGCCCCGCAGCGGGTCCCGGGACCCTCCCCAAACCCTGCGGGGCCCTGGGAGACCCCCAGATCGCAGGCCAGGCTGTGGCTGAGTAGGCAGGACCCCTTCTTCCGAGAAGACCCCTTGTGGGGTGTCGGGCTTGTGACCCCCCTCCCGAGGCACCCTTCTGCTGCCAGCAACATCCATATCAGTAATACTTACTACTGTTATTATTATTATTACTAGCTGACACTCGAGCCCTTGCAGAAGTTCTAATTCTCAGAACAATTTTCCAGAAATTGAGATCAGAGCGTGATTTCACTTGCCCCAAATCACCCCTAAGGGTCGGAGATGGGGAACCCCCCAATAAATGTACTGGCATTCCTGCAGTTCTTTCTGTGTGTAGATTTCACACAGAAAAATGCAACCCACACTCCCCGTTCCCTGTTCGCCCCCGCCTTGTCTTTCTCTATCGACACACCCGCTGACACGCCGTATATTTTACTTGTTTATCTGCTCACCCCAGCCAGGAGGGCGGGGCTTTCTGTCTTGTTCCCTGATGTGTCTCTGGGACGCAGGGTAGAGTCTCTATAAATGAATGAATGGGCCGGGCTGCGGTGTCTCTCGCCTGTAATCCCAGCACTTTGGGAGGCCGAGGCGGGCAGATCACCTGAGGTCAGGAGTTCGAGATCAGCCTGGCCAATATGGTGAAACCCCATCTCTACTAAAAATACAAAAAATTAGCAGGGTGTGGTGGTGGGTGCCTGTAATCCCACCTACTTGAGAGGCTGAGGCAGGAGAATCGCTTGAACCCGGGAGACAGAGGTTGCAGTGGGCAGAGATCATGCCAGTGCACTCCAGCCTGGGCGACAGAGCGAGACTTTGTCTCAAAAAACAACAGCAAAAATTAACCGAGCATGGTGGCATCCATCTGTAGTCCCAGCTACTTGGGTGGCTGAGGCAGGAGAACCCCTTGAACCCAGGAGGTGGGGGTTGAAGTGAGCCGAGATCGTGCCACTGCACTACAGCCTGGGCAACAGAGCGACAGTCTGTCTCAAAAAAAAAAAAAAAAGAATGAATGCACCAGCCTCTGCTGTGAGCACTTTCCAGGGATTAAAATGGGGTCTTCCTAACAAGGATCTGTTCTGTAATTATACCCATTTTACAGATAGGGAAACTACGCCCCAGCGTGTTGAAGGCACTTGCCTGAATCAACCAGCTGTGAGAGGAAGAGCCAGGATTTAAACCCAGGCCGGACACTCCATGCGGAGGACCATCCTAGGACATCTGTGCCACATCTGTGACAGCTGCTGATGCCTTTCACACTCACAGTTTTTTTTTTGTTTGTTTTTGTTTTTTTTTGAGACGAAGTTTTGCTCTTGTTGCCCAGGCTGGAGTTCAAGGGCACGATCTTGGCTCACTTCAACCCCCACCTCCCAGGTTCAAGGGATTCTCCTTCCTCAGCCTCCCAAGTAGCTGGGATTACAGGCACACACCACCACGCCCGGCTAATTTTGTATTTTTAGTAGAGACAGGGTTTCCCCATGTTGGTCAGGCTGGTCTCGAACTCCCAACCTCAGGTGATCCGCCCACCTTGTTCTCCCAAAGTGCTGGGATTACAGGCGTGAGCCACCGCACCGGGCCTGTTTTTGTTTTTTAATCAGGACAGTGTCTCGTTCACTAGCCAGGCTGGAGTTCAGTGGCACGATCATGGCTCCTTGCAGCCTCAAACTCCTGAGCTCAAGCAATCCTCCCGCCTCAGCCTTCGGAGTGGCTGGGACTACAGGCGCACACCACCACACCTGGCTACGTTTTTGTATTTTTAGTAGAGATAGGGTTTCACCATGTTGTCCAGGCTGGTCTCGAACTCCTCACCTTAAATGATCCTCCCACTTTGGCCTCCCAAAGTGCTCGGATTACAGGCATGAGCCACCGCACCCGGCCTTATTTTTATTTTTTGTAGAGATGAAGTCTTCGTATGTTGCCCAGGCTGGTCTTGAACTCCTGGGTTGAAGCGCTTCTCCAATGTCAGCCTCCCAAAGTGTTGGGATTACAGGTGTGTGCCAGTGTGTCTGGCTGGTCTCAGGGTCTTTGTATGGGAACTGGGGCAGGGATGTTGAGAAACCCCATCCTGCTTTTGGTGGGTGAGAGTCAGAGGAGGCCTTCAGAAAAGTGACTCCTAGGCAGTCTCGGAGAATTAGAATGCCTGGGGAGGGGGCCGGGCGCGGTGGCTCAAACCTGTAATCCCAGCACTTTGGGAGGCCGAGATGGGCGGATCACGAGGTCAGGAGATCGAGACCATCCTGGCTAACACGGTGAAACCCCGTCTCTACTAAAAAATACAAAAAACTAGCCGGGCGAGGTGGCAGCGCCTGTGGTCCCAGCTACTCGGGAGGCTGAGGCAGGAGAATCGTGAAAACCCGGGAGGCGGAGCTTGCAGTGAGCTGAGATCCGGCCACTGCACTCCAGCCTGGGCGACAGAGCGAGACTGCAGACTCCGTCTCAAAAAAAAAAAAGAATGCCTGGGGAGGGGAAATAAGACAACCCTGTTCCAGGCAGAGGGAACAGCATGTGAAAAGGCCTCAAGGCAAGGGATAGCAAAGATGTTCCACCTTCGCTGCAGCCTGTTGAGTAGGAATGAAAGATGGGTAGGGTCTCCTGGGCCGAGGTGAAGAATTTAGGATTTGTTCAAGGGCAGTGAGAGCCAGAGATAATCTTTTCTTTCTTTTTTGAGACAGAATCTCACTCTGTCAACCACGCTGGAGTGCAGTGGCATGATCATAGTTCACTATAGCCTTGACCTCCAGGGCTCAAGCAATCCTCCCCACTCAGCCTCCCAGGTAGCTGGGACCACAGGTGCACACCACTATGCCCGGCTAATTCTTGTATTTTTGCAGATAGGGTCTCACTGTGTTGCTCAGACCAGTCTTGAACTCCCAGCCTCAAGTGATTCTCTCACCTTGGCCTCCCAAAGTGCTGGGATTACAAGTGTGAGCCACCAGGAGCAGCCTGTTTTTTTTTTTTTTTTTTTTTTTTTTGAGACGGAGTCTCGCTCTGTCGCCCAGGCTGGAGTGCAGTGGCCGGATCTCGGCTCACTGCAAGCTCCGCCTCCCAGGTTCACGCCATTCTCCTGCCTCAGCCTCCCGAGTAGCTGGGACTACAGGCGCCCGCCACTGCGCCCGGCTAGTTTTTTGTATTTTTTAGTAGAGACGGGGTTTCACGGTGTTCGCCAGGATGGTCTCGATCTCCTGACCTCGTGATCCGCCCGTCTCAGCCTCCCAAAGTGCTGGGATTACAGGCTTGAGCCACCGCGCCCGGCCCAGCCTTTTTTCACGGCTGTGTAGTATTCCACTGTGTGACCATGTCACAACCTACCTATTTGATTGGGGGCAATTATGACAAATCACAGCAGCTCTGAACACTCTTGTTCAGGTTTTTTTTTTTTTTTTTTGAGACAGACTCTCACTGTCACCCAGGTTGGAGCGCAGTGGCGCAATCTCAGCTCACTACAACCTCCGCCTCAGTGGGTTCAAGCGATTCTCCTGCCTGAGCCTCCTGAGTAGCTGGGACTACAGGGCTGCCATCACACCTGACTACTTTTTGTATTTTTAGTAGAGATGGGGTTTCACCATGTTGGCCAGGCTGGTCTGGAACTCCTGGCCTCAAGTGATCCGCCTGCCTCGGCCTCCCAAAGTGTTGGAATGACAGGCGTGAGCCACCGCACCTGCTAGGAACTCTTGATGTTCTAGGAGGGTGTCTCACATTGGAAGGAACCCCATCCTCCCCCGGGGGCAGCCACGACACAGAGGCAGGGACACAGCACTGAACCTTCTCACATCTTTATTTGAAAGGCACAGCTAAGCCCACCCTTGATACAGCATTTTCCACTTCTCTCTGTAGAGATCAAACGACTGAACACAAGATAAGCTGACTATATACAGACACAGGTGTGGGTGTTGCTTTTTTTTTTAAAAACATTTTTGTCTTTTTTTTTTTTTAATATCCCCTTTCTTAAAAGACAAGCTAGTATACTGGAAAAAGAAAAAAATAATAATAAAATAAAAACCAAGACAACTTTAGTACCCTCATCTTTATTTGGGAAGGGGAGGGGGAATCCTGGGTCGCCCACCCTCACCCTGCTCCTCCCAGCACAGCTAAGCTCGTCCCTCGTGCCCCCTCTTTTGTGGGCAATGGGAGAGGACCAGGTGGGCGTGGAGGCGTCTGGAACTAGCAGAGGTGGTGAGTGGGGCAGGAAGTGGAGGTGGGAGCAGACCTGGGACCCCGGGTCGGGGGAGACTCGGGGTGCCCAGGATGGGAAAGGGGCAGCTAGCATTGCGTGCATGCAGTACCAGGGTGAGAGCGCAGTGGCGTGTGCCCCGAGGGGCCCGGGCAGACTGTCAGTTACACGTGTTCAAAACGGGGGAATGGCCAGGGGTTCTGGGCTTCTCGAGGTCTTGCTCCCTTGGGACCTGGTCTCCCATCTGACCCTCCAGGCCTCAGCTTGCCTCACATGTCAGGGCAGGTATCCACCTATCCAGGCTGCAGGGGAGGAGGAGGGAGGCCGGGACTGGGGTAGGAAGAAAGCTAGAGGTGGCCTGCAAGTCGGACTGGGGCCTCCGCAGGCAGCCGCCATAAATACTATGGGAGTTTAGCCAATCCCGAGCTCCACTGTGTCTTGTGCTAAACATTCTTTCTCTCCGTGCCTCTGTCTCCCCTCTGTCCCCCCTCCCACCCTCCCCGTCCCGGCCCCCTGCTAATCCGACTTCTCGCCGTCATCCTCCTGGTGGGTGTCACCGTCGTGCCCGTTCTTGTCTTCCTTGGAGAGGTGGGCCTGGGAACCCAGCGCGGACAGCGAGAGCAGGCCGGTGCCTGCACTGACCGCCGGCAGCGAAGGCGGCTGCAGCCCCACAGGCAGTGGGGTCAAGGGCAGGGCCAGGGCCTGCAGCTGGGACAGCTGGTGGGCTTGGAGCTGCTGCTGCAGGACGGGGGAGGGGAACGTTAGCTGCCTAGGGCCCACCTGTCCCCCGCCCACCCGCCCAGGTCCCCATACGTACTCGGATGATAGAGTTCAACTCAGGAGCGGTGACCTGCTTGGCCCTCTCGATGGCTCCCAAGACCTGCTGCTGGTGCTGGAAGGGGGTGAGGAGAGAGGAGAGGCAGTGATTCCTCCTGATCCTGACTGAGAGAGGAGGCGGTGGCTACCCTGGGGCCAGGAGGAGCCCCGCTACCAAGGGGGCCATCATGTCTGCTCCTCCCAGTGGTTTTCAACCCCATCAGAAAGCGCCTTCCCTCTCTCCAACTGCTTCCTTTCACCAAGCTCGTCTCTTCATCTGGCCAATGGAGATAAATGGAAAAGTGCAGAAAACGATTAAAAGGGTTTTGTGCCAAGTAGTTAGAAAACGGCCTTTGAGTGAGTCTGGGAGAAACCCCGGATCCTGACCTATCCTATGTCCGCAGCCATGTACAAAGACGTGAAAGACGTGAATATTTGTGCAGTACACAACCTGCCCAACTGTACAGGGATGTCCTGATCTTAGGAGCTCCAAGACTGTGCCCTGAGTCCGGCCAAATTGAGCCCTTCTCCTACCATGGCTGGAGAGGGCCCAATGAATTCTGGCAGAGCCAGCTGGGGAATGGGCCTAGGTTCAGGGCAGTTCCTCCCCCAGCTCTCCCCAAACATCTGACTCTGTGGCCAGCAGATGCTAGAATCTATCAATCTCCCTTTTTGCTTTGGCCACCAGGAAGCCTCCGTTCTGAAGAGTTCCAATTGCCCTTTTCTCTAGGGCTTTCATTGGGTCCTTCTAGACTTGTCCCTGGGCAAAGCAGGGCACCCAAAGGATCCTGAGATACAGCGATTAAAGAGGAAATTACAAATTTTTGACAGTAAACTTGGCAGGGACAGGAGATGGGCCTTACATGGCCCTGGGGAGGGGCAGCCTTGCATCCTGAGCCTCAGAACCCAAGAAAGGAGAAGAGAAGCTGGGCATCAGGTTCCTCTGGGTGTGTGTGCATGTGGTAGTGTGTGCTCAGGATCACATGTGCTTACGTGTAGCTGCACATTCCTGCGTGTGTGGCCCTGTGCTGTCTGCACACGCCGTGTATCCGTGTGTGTCTGCGTCTGTGTGTGTATCTCCTGTATGTTGATGTGCTCATACCTATCTATGTGGCTGTGTCCATGGGGGACCGCCCTGTGCTACCCCATCCCCGCAACACACCCTCTAGTCTTTGGTTCTGTGCCACCCGCAGGGCCTGAAGGATGTTCTCAAGAGGGTGAAAGGAGGAAGAGAGATGAGAAAAAAACATTCCTGGTGCAGTTTTGGCCCATCCGACATTTCTACCTATGACATGACTCACTCCAGCTGGGAATTCCAGAGCAGGGTGAGGCCCGGCCCCCACACCCCTGTACCCCTGGAGTGTCTCTGGCCCAGGGATTCTTCTGCATAGGCCAGCTCTGGTGCCCAGAGCCGGGGAGGTCCAGAGAGGGGAGGCATGTGCCCTGGGGCACCCAGCACGCCCCCCAAGATGGTTGCAGCAGACAGGGGCTGGGCAAGGGGAGGGCCCCCTGGCACCCCCTCCCTGAGGCCCTGGCTCTTACCTCTTGGGAGAGGTAGGGCAGGACCTGGGCACAAATCCCGTTCAGCCTTTTGACAATCTCCGCCTGGAACACACAGATGAAGTCAGCGTCAGTCCTGGATGGGTGGCAGGTGCAGGCCAGCCCCAGGAGGCCCGCACGGGGCCCAGCCCAGCCCTGCCACTTGCGGCTTCTCTCTAAGAGGGGCTAGGTCTGGCCAGGGTGGGATGAGCAAACCCGTGTTCGGGCCCAAGGGCAGCCAGTCAGTGGCAAAGGTGGGGCTGGAGACCGGCTGTCGCCTGCAGCTTAGAGTGCAGTAAATGCAGGATGAGGCCAGACTGCACATTCCTCGGCTACATTCCTCAGGGCTGGGCCACTCAGGCCCCTGGCAGATAGTGAGCGCTCGTGGGAATGTAGGGAGGGCTGGGGGCCACAGGTTGTGGGGAAGGTCTCCGCCTCTCCCGCCACCCCCAGAAAACACTCCAAGGGAGGCCTGAGAAAGAGGCGGTGGGGAGGAGAGTGGGAGCTTGGGAAGGGCTTAGGAGGTAACAGGATAACAGGGCTGGCTGGGTGCCCAGCCAAAGGCCGGCTGCTACCTGCCTGGGGGTGCCCAAGGGGGTGCTGGAGGCGGGGGGCAGAGGGGGAGGAGGGGGAAAGGAGAAGGAGGAGGAGGAGGAGATGGGCGTACCTGTTTGTGCATCTCGATGTTCAAACCGTAGGACATCTCATAGTACTGTATGGGGGAGAGAGAGAGGGAGCGGGAGATGAGGGCAGGGAAGGATGGGGGGGCATGGAGACAAAGAGATAAGGGAGTGGTAGAGACAGACAAAGGGGGGAGACAGCAAGAGAGCTGAGGGCAGGAAAGAAACGAGGCAGGTGGGAGGGAAAGAGCAGGAGGGAGAGACGCCCACACCCAGCGTCCCAGCCAGCCCGGGAGAGGGGCAAGGGGCCTGCTGGGGCTGCGGATGGAGACTGGAAGCACTTTAGGTCCCTAGCCCTGGCCTGGCTCCTCCCCCACTCCGTGTGCACCGCGAGAACACGCATTCCAGGGCTCCTAATCTTGTATCTTTCTATGATCTGTCTGCGGGTGGGCCCAGACTCCAGAGAAGTTTGCCTGCCTGGGTATAAACAGTGAGGGATAAACAAAGCCTGCTGGCTCTGGGGCCAGCAGCTACCCCTGCCCCAAGCCCCAGATCTCACCCTGCCCCTCCCCTGCTCTAAACCCTCCCATGGCTCCCCATCACCCCTGGGGGAGAAAACCAAGTTCATTCCCTGGCCTTCACATAGCTTCTCCGTCTCTGTCTGGTGAACTCCTACTCATCCTGCAAGACCCCAGCTGTGTGCCCCACTTCTCCATATAGTCTTCCTCAGGCAGGTCCTAGGTACCTCTATCTGCCCCCAGCCCTATCCTTCTGGCTGGGAGGGTTAGGGTCTGGCTCTGCCTCCCCCACAGTCTGGGAGATTTGGGTTCTGGGCTGAGACCCCAGCATCGCGGCTTGAGGGCCAGGCCAAGCGGGGGTAAGGGAGGGGATTTTTGATGCAGAAATTGCCACCTGGTGGTTACTAAACTGAGCAAGTGATTCTGGCAGCAGCAATGCAGTGTCACACCTCAGCCCCCCAAAATAAGCAGGGCTCAGACTCCCTCCCACAGGCTTCCTCTTTTGAGCTCGGGCCCAAAGGGGTTAAGCGTGTGGACGCTGGGACCTTGGCGGTGGGGAGGGACCCGGCTGCTCCCCCACGTCAGTTCCTGGCTGTTGGCTTTCACAGCCGGTGAGCCTCCTCCTCCTCCCTCCTCCGCTGCCAAGGACAGCCGGGGGACCTGGCAGGGCCGGTCTGCAACCCGGCGGTTTGGCACCTAGGCCACTGCCTCGGCCAGCTGCCAGGCTAGCGAGGCAGGCTCAGCCCAGCAGGGGCCGGCTGAGTGGAGAACAGGCCCCGAGTCCTCGCGCTTCCCAGGGGAGGTGGCCGGGGTTTAGGGAGCAGCTGCCCGTGGTGGATGGGATGTGGGGGACCCTGTCCCCCACCCCCAACACTGGACCTAGGGGCGGAGTTACTTTACCATCACATAGTGACGCTGCATCTCCGACTTCTCACTGGCCAACTTGTCACATTCGAGCTTGAGGCTGAGGAGGCACAGGGGGAGACGGGGTGGTTGGTGGCAGCTGGATAAGAGCCCCCCACCCTCCGTGATCCAGGGGAGGAAACTGAGGCTCCAAGGCCCCAAGACCCCTGTAAGGGAAAGATCAGCCAATTCTCAGAGGGTCATTTTTTTTTCTTTTTTAAACTGAGACGGGGGTCTCCCCATGTTGCCCAGGCTGGTCTCAAAAACTCCTGGGCTCAAGCAATCCTCCTGCCTCGACCTCCCAAACCTCTTGGGATTACAGATGTGAGCCACCCACCGTGCCTGGTCAATGAAGCCATAAACTTTGATAGGGGCTGAGGACGTTGAATTGAGGGGCAGGGAAGCTGGTAACAGTTGAGCTCTCTGTGATGCTGGGGGGAGGGGAGAGCATCAGGGCCCCCGACTGTAAGAAGGGGTGATGAAACCACCTTTGCAGATCTGGTCGGGCGAAAATATCCAACATTATAGGAACAACTGAAGTTAGAGGGCGCACAGCAATGCTGGCTCAGAGAGTTTCACGAGCCTTTACCTCTCACGATCCTGATGAGGCCCGCAATGTCACTGTCATGCTCCTTTTATAGATGACACAGTGGACAGCCAGAGAGGGTGAGGAGCTGCCTCAAGGTCACACAGCCAAGCAACAGCCCAAGCTCTCAACCACAGGGGAAAATTTTCCAGACCCAAATAGAACGTACAAAGAGGCTGAGAGCGTCTGGGGCTGCGAGGCGGCTCCTAGCTGGACTTCCCACGGGGACCCTAGCTTCATGGGGGGCCTGGGCTTCCCGGGCAGACCCCTCAGCTCCCTCTTAGTCCTTCCTAACAGCCTTTTATCTTTAGCTGAGACAAAACACACCATTTCTCCCACTCCACCTGGCCAGTCCAGGTGGCTGACACCAGAGCTTCTTGTAGGCCCTCCCCGGAAGGAGGAGCTGTGGGACGTTTCTCAAAGCCCCCATGAGGGCGTCGTGGCCGGAGGGAAGAGAGCAAGCAGGAGGGCCTCCCAGTCCAGGAAAAGAACTGGTGATGGTGGTGGGGGAGGTGTCCTTTAACCTATTTAAATCCAATCCAGCACAGGCGCCCTGCGGACCTGGCTGTGGCTTACCTGTTTCTACCATCCCTGCCCCCTCTCGGACTGGATTCAAAGCTCAGCCCTGCGTCTTCCCTGCTGTGTGACTCTAGGCAAACTCCACTACCTCTCTGGGCTTCACTTCCTCCTCTGTGAGGTAACACTAACCTCGCAGGGTGTGGTAGAGAAGAGTCAATGAATTCAGACAAGGAAAGTTCTACAACAGTACCTGGCATACAGTAAGCATCCTATAAATGCACGTGGATCTTAGGATACCCCAGGAGCCTGGCATTTTGCTCCACCAGAGACAAGTGTGCCGGGTTGAGGATGCTTTGGCCGCCACCAACTTTTCTCTAGGTTTCTTTTAAAACGTGCATTTGTTGCTACCATTAAAAAAAAAAAAAAAAAAAAAAAAAGAATTGGGGCAGGGTGCAGTGGCTCACGCCTGTAATCCTAACACTTTGGGAGGCCGAGGCGGGTGGTTCACTTGAGGTCAGGAGTTCGAGACCAGCCTGGCCAACATAAAGAAAGCCCATCTCCACTGCAAATACAAAAATTAGCCAGGTGTGGTGGTGCACGCCTGTAATCCCAGCTACTTGGGAGGCTGAAACAGGAGATACGCTTGAACCCAGGAGGTGGAAGTTGCAGTGTGCCGAGATCGCGCCACTGCACTCCAGCCTGGTGACATAGCAAGACTCCGTCTCAAAACAAAACAACAACAAAAACAACAAAAACAGTTTCACTTCAAACCCTGGATTTCTGGCCTTTCTTGAAAAATAGGGTGATCCGGCCACCCAGTGGCTGTTATACCTCGAACATCCGGTGCGTGCCTTGTATGGCAGGGACCCTCGTTGGGTAGCAGGAAGCGCAGGCCCAGCGGATGGAGACCCCAAAGCTCAGAGAGGGCTTCCGGCTTAGCAGAGGTCACACAGCACTGTGACCGCCATCTGATCCCTTCCCTGTGGAATCAGGTCAGCCCCAGGGCTCACCAGGCGGTCTCTAACCCTTCACATCGAGGGACCCGAACAAAAGCTCTGGGGCCTGCGTGGAAAGCCGACTCTAGCGCCTTCGACCGTCAGTGTCTCAGTTTGCCCATCTTGAGAATGGGTACGACAGTCGGACAACAAGAAAGATGAAGCTTGAGGAGGCATGTATGGTCTTTAGCACACAGGGAGCACCCAAAAAAGTTGGATATTTGCAATAGCAACAACAAAATTGAGATTCCCCTTTCTACTTGGAGGGAATCCAGGATCCTTCCAGGAACATTTCTGGGGTGGGCACACTTCAGTTTGGAGAGGGCCCCAAGGCCAAACGGGGGTTTGAGCGTAGCCTGACTTCCTCCAGATTCCCAGGCCCGGCGTGCCCCTCCAGAGTAGGGCAGGTGAAAATCTGTATCCTTAAACCTTAAACCAGGAGAGAGACCTGGTGCAAACCTCAGCCTTGCCACTTCCTCAACGCTACGGACATCCCCGAGGAAATAACCTCTCTGGGCTTAAGTTTCTTCTTCTTTTTTTTTTTTTTGTTTTTTTTCGGACACCGAGTCTCTCTCTGTTACCCAGGCTGGAGTGTGGTGGTTCGATTTCTGCTCACTGCAACCTCCGCCTCCCGGGTTCAAGCAAGTTTCCTGCCTCAGCCACCCAAGTAGCTGGGATTACAGGCGTCTGCCACCACACCCGGCTAATTTTGTATTTTTAGTAGAGACGGGGTTTCGCCATGTTGGCCAGGCTGGTCTCGAACTCCTGACCTCAAGTGATCCACCCGCCTCAGCCTCCCAAAGTGCTGGGGTTACAGGCGTGAGCCACCGGTGGCACCCGGCCTGGGATTAAATTTCTTTAAGTGTAAAAGGACTAAATAGTTCCTTCCCCTTAGATACCACAGCATGGCAAGCTCTTCAGAAACGCCAGGAGATTTCTGAAAGAAGCACCTGGGAGAATCTGACTGATGCTGGGAACCCTTTCTCCAAAACTGGGCAAAGAGAGATGACCAGGCTGCAAAATGTTTGTTTTGGGGGTTGGGGGGACGGCGAGTCTGTGCCCTAACTCCAATTGTCTTTTATCCAAGGGGGGACTTGGGGGGATTGGGTAGGAGGGAGGGGCTCTGAAGCCACACAGCTGGGTCTTTGGGCAAATTATTTAACTTATTTTGTGCCTCAGTTTTGTCCTCCACAGAATGCAGCTGTTTAAAAAAAATGAATTCCCTATTTGTCAAGTATTAGGTCAGAGTCTAGCATACATTATTTTCCCAATCTCCCCTCCAGGCCTCAGCCTTGCCATCTGCGCAGAAGAAATGGGGTGGGGGGCTCACCTTCTCGGGACGCAGGGACCCTCGGCCCCCCAGCTCACCTGTGATACTGAGCTTGCAGTAGCTGAAATTCGTCTTTGATGCGGTCGCAGGAGTCCGAGGTGGTGAATTTGAGTTGCTGGGGTAGGTGCGAAGAGCCCTGTGGGGAAGGGGCGGCCCGGGTCAGGCCCTGGCTTGGGCTGGACCCCCCTCGAGGGCCAGCCGGGAGGGAGCGGCCGCGCAGCTGCGGCGCCCCCCCTCCTGCCCCACTTCCTGGGCCCGTGTTTACGGCCCCTGGCGCGGCCCCCACCCGCGCTTCCTGCCCCCCGCCTCTCCCGGGGGAAGCCGAGAGGGTGGGTGCGCCCGGAGCCGCCCCGACCCCCGCCACCTCCAAGCAGTGGGGGTGCGTTTTAAGGCCTGCCCTAGATGGGGGGCAGGGTGCGCCCTCTACCGCCCCTCCAAAGCGCCGGGAGGGAGTGCACATCCGAGGGGGGTGGATACGCACCCTAGGGAGCCCCCTCCCCAAGTTGGGGGGCAGCGAGTCCTCCCAGCAAAGCCCTCTTGGGGGAGGGGTCTCTCGGCGCCCGAAATCTTCCCGGGGGGCCCACCCCAGATTCCCAGCGCCCTTCCTCGGGGACGCGCTCTTCCGGGAGGGGTGCGCCTCGGATCGCCCCCCCACCACAGGCCCCCAAAGGATCCCCGCGCTAGAGGTGCCTGGCGGGGCTCCCGGAGCGCCCCAGGCCCGAGGCCAAGGCCGTCCGAGGCCCTGCCTGTCCCGGCGAGGGGGGGAGCGCCAAGCCGGGAGCTGGGACGGGGGGGCTCGGGGCCCGGAAGCTGGGGTGGATCGGGAACTGGGGGGTGTCCGGGGGCCGGCGGCAGGAGGGGGGTCGCGCCGGGCTTGGAGCTGGAGAGGGAAGACAGGGCCGGGGAGTTGGGGGGGGTGCCGGGCCGGAGGCACCGGGCCTGGGGGTGGGGGGCGCGGGGCCGGGAGCCGGGGGTGGGGAGCGCAGGGCCGGGATCCGGGGTGGGGGCGCCTGCCGGACGGACCCCGCTTACCGAATGCCTGCTTTGTGGAAACATCATGTCAGTCGCGGCAGGGGGCGCGGGCTGCGCCCCGGCTGTGCGCCCCGGCTCGGGCTGCTGGGGGCGCCGGGCGGCCGCGCCTTTGTCCCGGCGCCGATCGGCAGCTCCCGGGGCCGCCGCCGCCTCCCGCGCCCGGCCTCGCCCGCTTCCTGCGCCCCCTCCCCGCGCGCCCGGCCCCGGCGCGCCCCGGGCCCCGCTTCCTGCGCGCCCGGCGCCCCTCCCCGCCCCTCCCCGCCGCCCGCCTCCCCGCTCCCCGGCCCCACCGCTATTGTCTAATGGCGGCGACGCCGGCAGTGGCCGCGGCTCGGCTGATGCTGAGGCTCCGGCTCCACCTGCCGCCGCCGCCCGTGCCCCGTGCGCGCCGCCGAGGGGGGGGAGGCGCGCGCCCGGGGAGGCCTGCGGATCCCCACCCCGGCCCGCCTCCCCAGGGCCCGCCCGCCGCGGTGACCTTGGGCCCGGCCCGCCCCCGCCCCGGGCCGCGGCCCCCGCCACCCCCCCCAACCCGGCAGCAGGCCGGGCCTCGGTTTCCCCATCTGTCAAAGAAAAGGGACCCGGCTGCCCGCGTCGAAGCCGCCAGCCCTGCCGTGGCACGACCTGGACGCGTGCCACGGACGTGCTCTGTGACCTTGGCTCTGGCTGGGCGGTGGTTCTCGCTGAGCCTCAGTTTCCTTTTCTGCAGAAAGGCAGCGGTAATGCCGCCTTTCTCAGGGAAGCCATTCTTGCGACACATTTATAGAACGCCTACTGTGTGCCAGGGCCTGCTGCTCCAGGGCCCTGTGGTGGGGGCGGGGGTGGGGGGTCCCTGCTCTGGTGGTGGTGCCTGGAGACAGACAGAGACAAATTAACAAGCTGAATTCCCAGCAGGTCAGATGGTGGGGACCGTTCTGCAGAAAAACCAGCCGGGAGGATGGCAGGGTAGGAAGATGCAAAGTTAAACAGGTGGCAGGGAGGATCAGAGAGAGCTTCCTCCGCCCCTAAAACGACCCAAAGAAGGAGAGAGAACAGGGGGATGGGGTACAGAGGTACTCAGAGGCAGGACCAGCAGGTGTAAAGGCCCTGGGGCAGGACTGTGCCTGGCATCAGGGTGCCAGGGCGGAGGTCAGGAAGGCCGGAGGGAGGCAGGGCCTGGGGCTTCATGCATTTGCCCAGGCCCCCCCCCCTCCTCAGCAGGGCTTGTGCTTGGGTTAATATTTAGTGCTGCATTTTGAGATTCCTAATCATTTTTGAACAAGGGGCCTTTCAGTTTTCTTTTGCACTGGGCCCTGCTAACTCTGTAGCTGGTGAAGCAGGCCAGTCCAGCAAGGACTTGTGGGCCATGGGGAGGACTTGGGTTTTTGGGTGAGTGAAGTGGGAGCCCTGAAAGGCTGTGGGAGGAGGAGGGATGGGACCTGGTGGTTTGTTTTTTGTTTGCTTTTGAGACGGAGTTTCACTCTTGTTGCCCAGGCTGGAATGCAATGGCACGATCCCAGCTCGCTACATCCTCTGCCTCCCGTGTTCAAGTGATTCTCCTGCCTCAGCCTCCCGAGTAGCTGGGATTACAGGCACGTGCTACCACGCCCGGCTAATTTTGTATTTTTAGTAGAGACGAGAGTTCTCCATGTCGGTCAGGCTGGTCTTGAACTCCCGACCTCAGGTGATCCACCTGCCTCGGCCTCCCAAAGTGCTGGGATTACAGGCGTGAGCCACCTTGCCCAGCTGTTTGTTTTTGAGATGGAGTCTCACTCTGTTGCCCAGGCTGGAATGCAGTGACGTGATCTTGCCTCACTGCAACCTCCGCCTCCCGGGTTCAAGCGATTCTCCTGCCTCAACCTCTCGTGTAGCTGGGATTACAGGTGCATACCACCATGCCTGGCTAATTTTTGTATGTTTAGTAGAGATGGGTTTCACTATATTGGCCAGGCTGATCTTGAAATCCTGATGTTGGGTGATCCTCCCGCCTCTACCTCCCAGAGTGCAGGGATTACAGGTGTGAGCCACCGCACCTGGCTTTAGACTTGTGCTTTTGCTCTGAGTGAGGTGGGAATCCTGGAGAGCCGTGGGAAGAGGAGGAATGGGACCTGGTGGCGGTTATGAAAGTATCCCTCTTTCTGCCATTCAGAGAACAGGCCCCAAAGAGGCCATTGAAATAAGGCTGTTCCTTTAAGGTCCTCCTTTGGCAGGTGCTGAGCACACAGTCTTTTCATCATCGTCATCCAGTAAGCAGCCTGCTCCCTTGGATGAATGCAACTGATTTGGGCCTTGGGTGTTCCCATCTGTAAAATGGACCCGGAACCCCAGCCTCCTTACCTTGGCAAGTAAGGGTGAGAGCCCTCAGTGTTCAAGATTAATAATCTTTAAAGCAGTGTTTTAATATTTTTATTAAAAAATTTTTTTTTTTTTTGAGACAGCGTCTCACTTTGTGGCCCATGCTGGAGTCCAGTGGCTCCACCTGGACTCATTACAAGCTCCACCTCCTGGGTTCACGCCATTCTCCTGCCTCAGCCTCCTGAGCAGCTGGAACTACAGGCATGAGCCACCACTCCTGGCCTAAAAAATTTTTTTAGACACAGTCTTCTGTTGCACAGGCTGGAGTGCAGTGGTGCAATCAGCTCTCTGTAGCCTCCCACTCCTGGGTTCAAGTGATCCTCCCACCTCAGCCTCCTGAGTAGCTGGGACTACAGGAGTGCACCAGCATGCCCAGGTAATTTTAAAATTTTTTGTAGGCCAGGAGCCGTGGCTCATGCCTGTAATCCCAGCACTTTGGGAAGCTGAGGCCGGTGGATTACAAGGTCAGGAGTTCGAGACCAGCCTGGCCAACATGGTGAAACCCCGTCTCTACTACAATTACAAAAATTACTAGCGTGTTTTGGCGTGCACCTCTAACTTCAGCTACTTGGAGGCTGAGGCATGAGAATCACTGGAAGCTGGGAGGTGGAGGTTGCAGTGAGCCAAGATCGTGCCACTGTACTCCAGCCTGAGTGACAAGAGTGAGACTCTGTCTCAAAAAACAAAAACAAAAAAACCCAAAAAGATTAGGATTAGGAAAGAAAAACTCGGCCGGGCGCGGTGGCTCACGCCTGTAATCCCTGCACTTTGGGAGGCCGAGGTGGGCGGATCACGAGGTCAGGAGATCGAGACCATCCTGGCTAACACGGTGAAACCCCGTCTCTACTTAAATAAAAAAAAAATTAGCCGGGCGCGGAGGCGGGCGCCTGTAGTCCCAGCTACTCCGGAGGCTGAGGCAGGAGAATGGCGCGAACCCGGGAGGCGGAGCTTGCAGTGAGCCGAGATGGTGCCACTGCACTCCAGCCTGGGCGACAGAGTGAAGACTCCGCCTCAAAAAAAAAAAAAAAAAGGAAAGAAAAACTAGGATTTTGTATTTTTAAGATTACTGCAGCCGGGCGCGGTGGCTCAAGCCTGTAATCCCAGCACTTTGGGAGGCCGAGGCGGGCGGATCACAAGGTCAGGAGATCGAGACCACAGTGAAACCCCGTCTCTACTAAAAATACAAAAAATTAGCCGGGTGCGGTGGCGGGCGCCTGTAGTCCCAGCTACTCAGGAGGCTGAGGCAGGAGAATGGCGGGAACCCGGGAGGCGGAGCTTGCAGTGAGCCGAGATCGCGCCACTGCACTCCAGCCTGGGCAACAGCGTGAGACTCCGTCTCAAAAAAAAAAAAAAAAAAAAAAAAAGATTACTGCTACTTGGTGGCCGGGTGCGGTGGCTAGCGCCTGTAATCCCCACACTTTGAGAAGCCGAGACGGGCAGATCACCTGAGGTCAGGAGTTTGAGACCAGCCTGACCAACATGGAGAAACCCCGTCTCTACTGAAAATACAAAATTAGCCGGGCGTGGTGGCAGACGCCTATAATCTCAGCCACTTGGGAGGCTGAGGCAGGAGAATTGCTTGAACCCGGGAGGTGGAGGTTGTGGTGAGCCAAGATGGTGCCATTGCACTCCAGCCTGGGTGACAAGAGCGAAACTCTGTCTCAAAAACAAGAAAGAAAAAAAAGAAACAAAGATTAATACTACTTGGTAACAGCCAAGCCTTCAACCAACCGCAACGCCCTTCTTTTTCAAGCAGGGCCCTGAGAGACTGCGTTCCTAGAATGCCCTTGAATCCAGTCCTGCTGCTAGCACCCCTGCCACCCCACCCCCACCGCCGTGGGGACCAGACACCCCCTCTCCTGGGAGGCCACCTGCCAGTGTTTATTTAGGCAGGCGCCTTCCGGTATCAGTGCGCCCGGTGACCAAACACTCCCATTTTCGAAGCCCCCACACTGTCAGGGGAAGCAGAGCTGGACACAGATAGCTTGAGCACGGTGAGGTCAGGGCTGGGCTGCCCAGAGGGACCTAGGCCTGTGAAAGAGAGAGTCATTGTGAAATCATTGTTTTTAGAAAACAGGTTTTTTTCTGCATAGAAGGAAGCCCAGAATGCTGGCCCACACTGTCAATAATCCAGCAAGCCACACAGGGCTGTATGTTTTTGCTGTGCACCAGGGGCTGCTTTAAGCACTTTAACCCTTAGGTGCTGTTGTCACGCCCATTTTAGAGATGGGGAAAACAGGCCGGCAAGGTGGCTCAGGCCTGTAATCCCAGCACTTTAGGAGGCCGAGGCAAGCGGATCACTTGAGGGTCAGGAGTTGGAGACCAGCCTGGCCAACATGGCGAAACCCCGTCTCTACTAAAAATACAAAAATTAACCGGGCGTGGTGGCCGCACGCCTGTAATCCCAGCTACTCGGGAGGCTGAGGCAGAAGAATCGCTTGAACCCGGAAGGCGGAGGTTTCAGTGAGCCTAGATCGTGCCACTGCACTCCAGCCTGGGTGACAGGGTGAGACTCTGTCTCAAAAAAAAAAAAAAAAAAAAAAAGGAAAAAAAAGATGGGGAAAGTGAGTCACAGAGAGGTGAAGTGACTCGGCCAAAATCACACCGTGGGTAGGGGGCAGAACCAAGATGTAATCCCAGGCCTTTGACCTTGACCTTGGGCCTTTGAGCACTCTGCAGTGTGGTTTCTGGCAGAGACACGATGGTGGCACGTGCTGCTGGGCTGAGGAGCTGGGATTTTATCTGGAGGGCACCAGGGAGCCACGGGAGGTTTTTTTTTTTTTGGTTTGAGATGGAGTCTCGCTCTGTCCCGCAGGCTGGAGTGCAGTGGCCGGATCTCAGCTCACTGCAAGCTCCGCCTCCGGGGTTGACGCCATTCTCCTGCCTCAGCCTCCCGAGTAGTTGAGATCACAGGCGCCCGCCACCTCGTCCGGCTAGTTTTTTTGTACTTTTTTTTTTTTTAGTAGAGACGGGGTTTCACCGTGTTTGCCAGGATGGTCTCGATCTCCTGACCTAGTGATCCACCTGTCTCGGCCTCCCAAAGTGCTGGGA